ATGTGATACGTTAGTAATTTAATTGTTATTTCTCCCTCACTATCTCTTACATTAAACAATATGTCTCACCCGTTCTCTCTCACTATCTTTTCTCTTTCATTTACTTTCTGTCTTTTTCTCTATGCGTTCATTTCAAGTGTAAAATATTTTTAATCACAACATAAAATGAAATGCTCCGAGCATGACTGTTTTTGTATTGTTTTTGCTCTTTCTCATGACCCAAACTATAAACGAAACGTGTAGTATGATAATTAATTCCGATTTGATGAGCATTTCCAATTGAATGCATTTTTCAAGTTTTATATTGTTACGTACATTGTTGACTATCATCAGACAACTGGACAAAATGTATACAATAAATTTTGGTGAAATAAAAACAAAGAAATTTCTTCGCGAATATGAAAAATACCTTGCCTTGTCGCCGAATACATAATCGATGTGATCCATTGATATTATCAATCAATTCAATACCAAAAAAATCCCATTTTCAAAAATACTTTTAGATTGATTCGTATCAAAATGAATGTTCTCCGCTGAAAATGGTTACATATAGTGTAATGATCAAAACAAATTTGAATATTTCATCCATTATTTGTATTCTATGGCGCATGAATCGATGTGTATCGAAGTGTCATTGCAAATGTATAAATTTTCTCGACTCTGAACTGTGTGACTGGTGTGTCTAATAATGTAAAATTTTAACGTTGTACACAAATACATTACAGTTTGGTGGCGCAATACAATACATCACCGAGACACGAAGCGCACCCAATGATAAAAACGTCCGACACACGCGTTCGCGAAAAAAGCGTGTACGAAGCAAATAAGAAAACGAAGAGAGAAAGAGATAGAGAGAGAGAAAAATCACCGACAACAACATCGTATTCAAACCGTGCAAAGAAATGGTTATTATAAAAGCGATCGACTTGTTCGAATATGTAATCAGTCGTTGGAAATTAAGTAATCGTTAAACACAGAGAGCGTTAAAAACAAACTGCGTACAGTTCATAATAAAATTAAATATCGTAAAAAAAAAAAAAACATACATCACAAATTCGAAAAACTTAGTAAGTTGTCTTTTTCAATTGTTGTAAATAAATTCCGTGCAGTTTTTTGTGATTCAGTTTTGTTGTTAGGCGTTGACTACATTAAATTTTAATTTTGGTTTGTTTTTTTTATTTTAGCGTGAAAACAGTTTTGATTAAAAATCGGTGAAGCACAGTGAAATAGTTTTCGTAATAAATTGCTGAAGTAAATTTCATTGAACCACAGCGGAACAAACACGAACAAAATGGAGTTTAAACTGAATGCACTTATTAGCACGATGATGTTGACCATCATATTTGCCATTATTGTTGACTGCAGACTTATCAATGCGCCCACTGACGCTGAAAATGAAGAATGTAAGTTTATTTTAAAGAAAAGTTCAATTTTTTCTTTGCAATAAATTGAATTGCGTTCTGTAAAGAACCGAACTTTTTCGGTTTTCAAAGAAGATCGAAAATTTGCCCCACAGCAAGTCTCAATTATGATTGAAGTGCAGAATGGTTTTTTAAAGTGAAACGTGACTGTCTTCTGTTTTAGATTACTTTTCCGGCGTACCAGTATATACACCAAGTCGTGAATGCTCGATGGCTGGAGGCATTTGTGTCCAAGAAGGAGATTGTGCAAAAGGCCAATTAGTTGGATACAAACTGGGCTTGTGCGAAGATCATGAAATGGGAGTCGAATGCTGTTATGAAGGTAAAAACAAATACATTACATTCTTCTTAATTTTCTTCGTATTCTTCTTCGTCGTGAACAATGATAATAACTGTTTCTTTTTTAATTTGAAATAGTCATACCACGAGAAGCACCATGTAAACAATTTGGAGGCAAGTGCACGAAAAATTGCAAACAAAATTCATTACGTCAACATCTTGCCAACGATTGCACTGGCGATGAAATATGTTGCGTTCTAGTGCAATAGGAGAGTGACCATATGCTGTCACACATTTTTTTTTTTGTAATGAAACGAAACAATTTTAATGTAACAATAATAATAAGTATGATTTCTGTGTTGTTTAACTAATTTTTTTTCGTGTGTAATGCTAGTGAAGAAAATTTAGCGTACTTTTGTTTAATTTTTAAGCATATCTTATTAGATGTTATGATAGTCAATAAATATACTGATTGAATATACTTTTCTTTTTTCATTTTATCTCCCTTTTCCTCTCTTTTATCTCCCTCCCTCTCTCTCTCTCTCTCTCTCTCTCTCTCTCTCTCTCTCTTTCTGGTAAATCAGAAGTGATGCTGAAAATCTTCATTTTAGAAGAATATACCGGTCTGATCATCAAAAAAGGATTTTTTGAACAAAACGACACCTCTAAACTTAAGAACGTTATGTTACACCTCAATCAACAGAAAAAAAGTCCAAGATATTTTCATGATTTTAATTTAGAGAAAGTTTTCTCTTTATTCCGCTTTTTAAAAAATGCTCTTTCATATTTATCATTATTTTGATATTTTTGTGTATATGATTTGTTTACTGTTGTTGACAAAACAGTCAACGCTTCAAGAACATCATGATGATCAATGAGAATTTGAACCTCGCACAGATGTAATCTGTGATTACAAAACGCGAACCCAAGGCGATTTGGAGAAAAAAATCAAGCCCGAAATAAATTTCAAAAAATGATTAAATCATAGTAAGCGATGTGTGTAAATGATTTCATCGCAAATGACCTAGTCGGTTGAATTGTGAGCGTGGCGGGTCAACAAATGATACGAATTCGAAAAAAGACGAAACTTCTGAAACATACACAGAATGTTTGAATGTACGCAACAGTGCTCGTCTTCGTTGCTTTTCAGCAAGCCTAACCCAATTTTTATTTTTGTTTTCATATATTCAATCGTCGATTACATACATATACATATAAATTTTGTTTTCGTGCACATTCTTCGCAGCAGAAGATAAATCAGCGAGTTGCTCTTGTTTATTTTCAATCGATTTAAATTTAATTGATGATGTCGGTTTTGAACGGCGCAAATTCGTTGTCATTTATTATGAAATTTGTTACTTGACTGTTGTTTTGATAATATGATCAAGTCCGGAATATTTAAAAATTTGCAAAGCAAAGCAATCGAACACAACGCAAAAATGGTCGAAATAGCAAAAGACGATGAAATGAAAGAATATTTAAATCGATGAAAAATGTTCAAGATTAGGATTGTCAATACCACGTGCTCAACTCAAGTTTAAATACATATTCGATGGCCCATGACATCTGCATTCGAAAAGGTGAATGACGAAGCAACTGATATCACATCATAATCTTACGAGCGAAAATATTTATACTATTTTTTCAAGTCATAATTATTTTAGTCACCGAAAGAGAGATTAATCGTAAAATGGTGAATTAAATCTTTTTTTTCCATCTCGCTAGACAAGAATCATCAATGCATTGCACATCCAAACAAAATATCTTAAGTTGAAGTTCGTGTCTACTTACTGAAAATTTCAACCAAAAAAAGAAGAAATTTTCAACAAAGACACTTATAAGCATGTCAAATGATCTCGAACGTTCAATTAAATTCTAATTTGCATTTTCCAATGTTTGTGATTCTGATGAGATTTTGTTTCTCAAAAAATCCATTCAATTGGACTGAAGGTTACTGTAACGAACTTGACATTGAACTGATTGATTGACTGTTTATAAACATGTGGCTATTTTGTGGTTTCATTTTTACTGGACTTCACTTATTTTTGTTTTCATTTCTTTTTTCGTCTCTCAACTTGCTTTACTTTCGGGCATTTTAATCGAAATACCGATAAGCACTCCTATTTTAGTGAGACAAATAACGAAAACATCATACTATTATTATTCATATTCTTTTTTTTCCCTTATTTTATTGCTGTTGTTGTTATCACATTAAAATAACAGAACACACAATTTGTCCGAATCGTAATTAAAAAATGATCGCAAATCAATCAGTTATTTGAGTGTAATTTTAAACGACAACATGATTAAAGAGTAAACAGAAAGCATTACGCAGCAAATATAAACGTTTTGATGCGTCTTGATGCGATGAAAAAAGCTTAGCTTAAAAAAGCGAATGGCTCATATAATTATCAACAGATGACGCACCAATCACCATTTTTTAAAAGTTAACATTGAAAACGGTTTCATTGCGAATTTCAACATTTAGCTCAAATAATTTCGGAAATTCTTCCATTTTATACCTACATATATTTGAGGATTGCAAGGAATAAAAACCATTAGTTTTTGACCGACTTTGGTTTAACCAAATTGGTTGATAGGGTAAAGTTTGACGCCTATGAGAATTTTTGTTTTCTAAAATTGGTCTAATTTTTCTCTTTTGAGTGTTTATGTCTGCTTAATTTAAGTAACTTAAACACTTAAAAAATATGGTTTGCACGGAAAAACCTAATCTAACGTTAGTTTAGCGATATAAATAATTTGCGACAAACTTTCCATACAAAAATAACTAAACATGTGAATTTTTGTATGGGAGCCATGCCTGTATGATATCGTAATGGCGTTAAACTTTCCACGGGCTATTTTTTCACAAATAAATAGCATTCCGAAAGTTTAAAGAAATTTTAATGCAAATTAGAGGTACCTATCATGCAAAATTGTAAATTTCTCATGTAAATTTGAAAATCCAGTAAATTGCCGAAAATCAACTAAACTCATAAGAATTTGGTCAACTTCATAAGAATTTGGATAGTTTGTTTACCCCTTTGTTGATATAAATGTGTGTTAGTATTGGCGTATTGTATTTTTTTCTGTACAAATTAAAATACATGTATTCGTCATCGTGAAGTCCTTATCATAAAATACATGGGATGTTATTCGTAGACGTTGATTAACGAATTATGAGAGTGTGTGTATATACTTCTAACAATATGATGATAACAGGGAACGGGAGCGAAGCAATACAATACATATCTTGGCGTACAGTAATCATTCGAATTTCCTATAGTGCGGATAGCATTTTTGTTTCACTGTTTAGTTTGAAAGTTTTAAATGTGATTTCAAGTTTAAAACTTTGAAATATTGAAATAAGATCACTGTTGATCTATTGCAGCATATTCATAATTTGTACGGGCTTAGTAGAAAGTTCACGTATGTTCAGTTTAAAAACAATTCTGATAATTTGCATTGTGAAAATCAGTGGCACACAAATGCGCATGCAGGGATATGCACAAATGCGCATGCCAGTTGATTTGGTTTGCTGTGCTTTTCAAAATGTCTGGCTGTCGCATGCTGTCGACAATGTAATCGAAATTATCGTTCTGCTATCGTCGACGATTTAATCACATTAAAATGAGTCTATTGTTGTACAATACGAATGAAACAACTATATTTTGCTTATCATTTTTTTTTTCTAGAATTTTTGTTTGTTTATTACATTCTCGTGGAGTCAAATGAATACTTCCCGAAATAAAATGAATACCAAGAAAACGATTTAAACTTATTTTTTTGTTATTATTTTTCATAGGACGGAAATGTCGAACGTCGGACAATTTAGAAGACAATTGTTTTTTGCTGCAAGACTGTGAGCCATTGTATAATTTACTTCGACAAAAGTTAGCGTCAAAATCATGTACCAAAAAGGACTTTACATATTACAAGCAATACTTATGCGGACCACTTCGTAATCGAAATCCACCTGTAAAACCAAGAGAACTAAAATCTGAATAGAAATGATATATTCAAAAATATGAAAAATCAACCGAAATTTATTAAAAATTCAAATATTCAATATTTTTAGGTATGTTGTCCACCGGTTCTTGAAAAGCCTGACTATACAGAGGAAGACAATCAAATAGTAACAGTGATTGAAAACAAAATGGTGCACATCTCTCAATCAAGTGGTGATCGAACTGGTGCGAATGTAATGGTTACTACAAAAACACCAACAAGAACAGTTATTGTAGGTGGTCCAGGCTGCCTCAGTGGCATGTAAATCAAACAGCACATTGCTGATGACGTCATTGGCACATATCCATGGTAGGAAAATCAAAATGGAACTTTTTAATGTTACCTAAAAAGAGATCACGCACTTTTCATGCATTGCAGGTTAGGAGTGATCAAATACACCAAAAGTAATTATTCAGTATTTAAATTCATTTACACATGCAGTAGTGTCTCATTGTGTCTCTTCATTTCACAGACATCGATATTGTGCGGCAGCACAATTGTTAATCGACATTTCGCTCTAACTGGTATTCAAAGTGACAGCTAATTTCAAAGCCATTTTATTTTTTCAAACAGTTTGTTTTTCTTTTGTTTTTCATGTTCGATGATAGCGGGTCATTGTATCGTTGGACTTGACGTGAAGTTTAAACGATGTGTGCCGACATCAGTGCGATTTGGTGATCATGGACAATACAATCCCGAATGTTCCTTCGTAATGATCGCAGAAACAAAATGTTGTACACTTACCTGCACGTTTACTTAATTGAAACCATAAATTTTGAAAGAAAAAAATGATGTGGCAAAATTATGAGTACGCAGCCAAGTTATCAATCTTTTCTCACTTTCAACTTTGATGTTAGTTGGCGATTTAACTAAGGCTATTTCAATTCATTTTTCATTCGAATTTGTAAATACGGAATCACCAAAACCGGTTTTATCCTCATCACAATCATCAATGATATCTTCAAAGTTTTTGAACATTAACAATACATTTGTTTCAGCCTTGTCGAAGAATTAACTATAAAAGCTTTCAACGAAAACAATGAACTGTTCTTGAATGCATATGAACTGAACACATCTTTTCCTAACATGTTTATCACTTTCCTCTTGTCGACTATCTGCAGTTTTACCCCTTCTTGTGATTTCGATGGGAAAGTTATTTTAATGAAAAAATGATTTGAATGTGCTAGGGATTTTTGAACACAAGAGAAATTCTTTCGATTTACTACGGATTTTTTTTTTCACAATAACATCCCCCAAAGTTCATGTAGAGTTTGAAAATGACTTATCAACTGGTATGTTTGTGACAACCATTTATGTCAGACCGGTTTTCTCATTTAACACATAAAAACAATACTTTTATTTCATTTAAAGCAAACAAATTGAAATTTAATTTCGAAACACAAAAGCAAAAATTGAACTCTTTAATAATGTAAATATATTCAACAGAATCATTAGTTTGATAAAATCAAGCTAGTTCACGAACATTGGGATTTGATGCGATTGCATCATATGTGCTTTGAACGATTTTCCTGAGCGTTGGATTTTTCATTTTTTCAGATAAATAATTTTCGTATTCGGTTATTGTTACAGTCATAAATAATGGCGGAGGAGTGAGAAATGCATCTGTATTGTAGACATATTTATTCGGACAATGATAGTCATCGATTGATTCATATGACCAATTTCCTTCAAACCAAATGTTACACTCATTATCGATTCCGATGAATTTGTTATTTGTATATTCGCGAAGACCAGTGGTTTTACATGCCCTTGCACTTCGTCCCAAAATCCCATTAATTCCATTCCTTTTTATTACGTTTGGAAGTCCACTTCCATTGTTGGCGATATGAATGAATTTGGAATAACCAGCAGCACCACCGAAACCACCTGCAAGCACCCCATTGATTTTTAAAACAGTACCGAAATTTATTAATTTCATTATCATTTGATTAAGCTTACCAGCACCACCCGTTCCAGTCACACCACAACAATGAATTGGAAATATTCTGGCTTCACGGGTGACTTTCCTCCCGATTAGCGATGACGTTTCTTTTTTGATATGTGCACATGTTCGATTGACCCTTGTGAATGTTTTTTTAATTGTTCCACTTTCAAATGTGAGTAAATCACAATACCAGTCTGGGTAGTAGCCTTCTACATTATTTTCGTCTTTTCCATGCACTAATTTAACATCTTTATTGCCAGTTCCGTCTTGTCCATTTCCACCGTTGCCACCAATTAACTCAATTGTCAATAAGTTGCCGTTTGTGATTTCATTTGCCAAACCAAAGAAGTTGCCAGAATTGGTTCCAGGATTTCCTGGTTTTCCTGCCGTTCCTCTTGTCGCTGGTGGTGCATGTGATTTACCATTAATTCCATTCAAATAAAATCTCGCGGGTCGCAAAATGTACCATTTATTTGCCAAAATGTGTAATTCCACATTTTCAATTCCATTCAAATTCAGATCACTGTCAACATAAAACGTATCCGCCACAAATACATTGATTTTCTTCATATCTTTTCCAAACCGAATTGAGCACTTTGTTAGTTGAATGTCTGAACTCTTCACGAAATACCCTTCAATCATTGTGATCTGATGGTCACAACAGTACTTTACTGTTGATTTCAGTGTGGTTCGAATGATTTGATTGAGTTCATTCATTTTTGATGGGGTCGGTACAAAGTCGGCCAAATTGTTAAATCGTTGTGTAAATTGTTTGAAATTCGTAGTCGTAATAACTAATCCCTGTACGCATTCTGATTTTCCCCAGTCCGATATATCACGAACGTTATAAGCGCGAACATCCTTTTGGACTTCATACGAAGCGAGGAAATTATAAACATCGAGCAGAAAGGAATACCAAACATATTCAGAAGACACAAAGTTAATTGCATTGGATGAGTTTATAATCCAATTTCCAACTGGAATAATGAGATCAAATTTCGAAAGTGACTTCAATTCGTTAAGATATAAACTATTCTCTTTAACGCGATTGCATGCACTTATATCAATTGATGTTAAATTCAAAGTCTGAATCAACGTTGAGAATTGGTTTATTCTCTGTTCTAATGTAAACGCGTTGCCAATTGTCTCAACGGATTTCTTTCCAATTTGCAAAAGATTCAACTTTTTATGATGACCGATCATTTCTTTCAGTTTCTCTTTCAATGCGATCAATAAGTATTGATCAACATTTATCATGTCAACTGTAATGTTATTGATTATTTTTGGTATTTCTATGGCTATATCACTCTGTACATTGGCGTCATATTTTTGGAAAAACTCACTCAGTTTATTCAAAAATGATTTGTAATCGATTATTTGTGAAGCATTATTACCTAATGACAGTCGCACATCAATAAGGTTTTCCTCAGAGACAAGAGATTCCAGAATATTTAGTGTATTACCGTCTCTTTCAATTTGGCCGAGTTCATGTTCTTTAATCGATTGCAAACTGATTTCTGTCATTAATTCTCTAAATAAACCAGTGAAACTTTTTAAACTGAAGGCATGGATTTTCTCAAAATACTCAATTTTCGATTGGCTAGTGTGAATAATTTGTAACTTTCTTTTGAAATCGTGCATTGATTGTATCTTTTGATCGATTTCATTCTGTACTCGATCATTGAGATTTTTAGATTGTAAAAAAAGGCTGTTGATCGCTTGCTCTACCATTCCTCTAACATAAAGTTGTGCTTCAGCTGATAACGGAAAACCGAAATCATTTGATCGTATTTGCGCGAATACTATGTTCTCGAGTATGGATTTGCGTATAAGACGACGGCCCACCACAAACTTTTGGATTTCACTAAATCGTCCCGTTTCATCCGGTTTCCAGAACACTGATATTCTTGGAAAAATCCCTTCTGATTGAGTCAATAATGAATTAATTAACTGAATTTTGTCTTCAAATAAACCTTTTTTACTCAAAGTCCTACGATGTTCAAACATAAAATCAGCGGTTGTATTTTTCACATCCTCCTCCGAAATTTCAATAAATTTTCGTTTGATAGTAAAAGTTGATGGTACTTTGGTCACTACTAAAGAAAAACTGTTCTCAAAGTGTTTTATTTTTTTGATCAGCTGTGTTGTTTGTTCAAGTAAATCATCAAAATCATTGCGATTTTGACCATTGGTGACGGACTGATAATTAACAACCATTACTATTTTTATATTTTTGGCACCCTCAATGACACGCTTAATGAAAATTGTGTTGGCGATTTCAACTGTTTGATTGCGGGTATCAGCGAAACCAGGGCAATCGTACCACACATATTGTTCGTCGTCGATCACCAATTTCGGAACAAATGTTCGCGATACTGTTGATGAAATGGTGGCATTATCGCGATCCAATTCATCTTTAATGACTAAATCTGGATTGTGTGGATTTGGTGATTCCATTGAAATCAATTTGCTATAATCACCGGCCACGTAGTGAACTAAGGTTGACTTTCCACTCCCTGTATTGCCAACGACCAATATTATGTCCGATTCATTGGTTACTTTTAACTTGTCTTGTGCATTGTTTATAAACTGAAGCGAACTTTCTACCGAGTTGAATATATTTTCTTCACTTGAAACAACTATTAACAAAGTATAAAAAACGAACGAAATTAACGAATTCATATTGTACGTAGCACCGCCGGGGGCAGAGTTGAAAACTGAATTTTAAATGATAAATTAATCACAGCAACACACAAAATTTTATTTATACCTCTATATCAATTATTACTAGATGACATATATTTGAACGTTTTGATAATATACCATGCACCAATTATTTTGCACTTGACGAGACATGATGGCATCATAAACATGAACTTTATATATTATGATCGAAAAAAGCCATCGTAATCACTTCTTATCATTTCCAAATAAAATGATGTCATTCATAGCGGATGGCAATT